CAACAGAAACATGCGATTCGCGTGATTAATTATGTGGATCGCTCTACACATTCAAAGTCTTTCTTTGATGAAATGAAAATACTTAATGTCTACAAACTTAATGTTTTCAATGTTTTATGTTTTACTTATATGTGGAAAAACAATTTATCCCTACCTGTTTTTAACGACCTTTTTACGTTAAAACTTACTAATAAGTACTCACTAAGAAATAAAGATTTACTAAATGAACCATTTTGTAGAACAAATTTTAATAAATTTTGTATTAATTATAGAGCACCTTACCTTTGGAATAAAATAGTTCTGCCTAATTTTGATCCTTTTATCCGTTTTTCTGTTTTTAAAAATGAATTAAAAAAATTCCTTCTTGCTATGGATGACATTTTAAGTTACTATTAGCTTGAAGTATAAACTTGATTTATGAGATTTATAATAATATTTATATTAATAAATTTGTTTTCTTTAATTTATATCAGATCTATAAAATTTATTATTATGGATTATTATAACAAGTTTGTGAGAATTATTATTACAGATACGTGATTAATATTATGAATTTATTATTATATATTTATTATTACGGCCGTTTTTGGATTTATATTTTCAGTTTTATGGTATGATAAAATTGTAAAGGTTCTGATGATAACATCAGAAGATCTTCTTTCAGAAGCCTTGTTTTCTTTGTTCTTATAAAATATAGTATTTATTTTACGGCAAATGTAAACAGAAAAAAAAAAAAAAAAAAAAAAAAAATTAGCGACATTGGTAAGAAAGGAGGCGTGAACTTCTAGTTAAGTGCTCTTTTGATACTATTGAATTGCTTATGATAAAATCTAAACTTCTATATTAACTTATACATTTTTAACTTAATGATATACTAAAAATTTTTAATGATTAATTAAAAACCAAGAAAAGTCTAAAAAAACATAGAAAAATGGCTGTGGCTAATGAATCTTATGTGAACCATCAATAAAATCAAATCAAATACAAAGTATTAAATTCTAGAGTTTTATTAAATTTTCAAAAATTAAAACAAATTTAAAAATATCCAACACAGAGAAATGTAAATAGTTCATTGATATTAAAAACCAACTTAAAAAAATTATTATTTTAGTATTATTAATAGTAATCGTAGCGATTCCGCAGCTCAACTAAAAATATTCGACGTTTGACAAAAAAGTCGTAACTTTCATGAACTTGACACATACCTTTTTTTATAATTAAGCTAAAATTTTAAGGTTTTTTGCATCAAATAGTTGAACTCAACTTCTTTCTAACCACCTGTAGAAAGCACTGTTTTTTAATAGTTAAGTGATAAGTGATAAAAGTGTTGATAAAAACTTGCCGTGAGAACGTTTATTCAAATGCATTCGTCCCGAAACACATTTTTTCGAATGACTTAATGACAAAAAAAACATCTAATTAAGTATCAAAACACATAAAACGCATTTAAAAAAAAAAAAAAGATTGGAAAATTTTCAATAATTTGAAAACTATTATATTTATTATATATATTATAATTATTATATATTCTTAGCAGTGTTTAAAAACTTTAAAGTCGGTTTACTAAAAAAAAACTTTTTTTGAACAGATTTCCTGAGAAAAAAGCAAGTATATTTATGTACATAAATAAAAAGTTTTATCTCTCTACACAAAATTTTATATATATATATATATATATATATATATATATATATATATATATATATATATATATATATATATATATATATATATATATATATATATATATATATTTACAATTATATATATATATATATATATATATATATATATATATATATATATTTATATAACTACAATTATATATATATATATATATATATGAATATATATATATATATATATATATATATATATATATATATATATATATATATATATATATATATATATATATATATATATATATATATATATATATATATATATATATATATATATATATATATATATATATATATATATATATATATATATATATATATATATATATATATATATATATATATATATATATATATATAAAGCAAGTATTTATTTAAGTTTTCTTGAAGAAATGATACAAAAAGATTTTTGCGTAGAAATATGTACAGGTACACCTTAAAAACAAACACCTTAAAATCTACAAAGTCATAAATTATGACTTTATGACAATTATGACATAACTGATGTTCTCAAAAAGCACTATTTGAGCTTAAGTGCAAATAATTTTTGTTTTAAGACTTCATATAAATACTCTCTTAAAAGTATAAGTTCATTTTTAGAAAATGTGATGTAAGCAATTTAAAAAAAAAAAAAAAAAAAAGTTTAAACTAAAAACCACACTTTTTTTGTATGGGTAAGCACTAATTTTAAAATAAGTTTGTAATTCCTTGTTTTATAGATATCTACATTGTTGCTAGAAATTAAAACAATTTTTTTTTTACAATATTCTTCTCACACTAATAGAATGAGCTTTTTACTCATCGAGTAGAGATGCTCGTAGTTTTTATAGGGTACTAAGGTTAACACAAACATTGAAACACAAAGTTTCATTTTTTTTTCAGAACCAGAAAGTACATTTCAAAACAACATAAAACATTTCCCTAATTGATGTTATTGCTTTCCTTGTGTTTTAATATTTAGCATTTGTTTTGGTTGATATCTCTAGTTTAATCCTGGAGTTAGCAAGACATGAACCAGTGCATATTTTGTTTGGTGTTCTGGGAGCAAGACTGTCCAAACGCTCTTGCTTCTGATTTTGAGTCATACAGTTAGCAGCTTTTTCAAAATTTATCTAGCTGCATTTTATTTCCATTTAAAATCTCTTTAGAATTCCTAACTCTCTTTGCAGCATTAATTATGGTATTCTTTAAAGCCACATTACTCCTATAAACTGTCATGAAGCCTTCTCAGTTTATTGTTTAGAAAGTTATAAAAATTTAACCTTTTTTTTTGTCACATTGACAATGCATGTTCTGGTTAGGACTTTGACTTGATAATTGAGTCACCCTAGTTGTGTTGAGAGGACAAATTAATTTTTTTTTTCATGGAGGAAATGTAGAGCATTGTAGTCAAATCTTAAACTGCGTCCATCTACTGGCATTACAATAGGTCATTAAATGTTCTCTTCTGACAAGTGTATATCAAATTTTTTGTATAAGTCCAATAAAAAAATGGTTATCCTGACTTTCTTTTTCATTAGATGACATAATTAAATTTTTTATATTTTAGACCGCTATTTTTGGAGCCATAATATAGTGATACCTTGACCAGCAAAAAACTGAAAAGAACAAACACTTTGAAACAACAATTTTACTTGAAATGTTATATTTAAAAAATTAAAATATAATAATAATATTATTTATGATTAAACTTAAACCTGTCCACCATGGTGATAGAAACGTTATTCACTAATACTAAAATGGTTAACTAATACTTCCACAGCAATAAAAACATTTGAATTGTTTTTTTAAATAAATGCAAATCACTGGATTGGTATTATTATCTTTGCAAAATATTTTTGTTATTAGCTGCCAATGAAACAACTGGACATATCGTTATTGCTTAACAATTCTTCCTAATCATTTTTTTTGCAAGGTTCTCCATGTGCAACATGCAAAACCAGAATTCGTTCCATTAACCCCATGATTTATGAATGAGGGTGTTTCATAAAAATTGAAAATTCTTCTTGTTTCAATATCAACTTTCCACACAACCGGTTTTATGGAAATCTTAAATTTAATGAGTTCTTCAGCAAATAAATCTAATAGATAATTCCAAAATGTTTTTAGAAATGTAGAACATTGTTGTCAATTGTAGTCTGACAAATATATATCAAACTTTTTGCATAAGTCCAATAAAGAATGATTATCCTGGCTTCTTTTTTCCGTAGATGATATAATTAAACTTTTTTATATTTTTGACCGCTATTTTTGGAGCCATAATGTATTGGTACCTTTACCAGCAAAAATAACTGAAAAAAAACTTTGAAACAACAACATCACCATGAAATGTTGAGATATATATTTAAAAAGTTAAAGATATATATATATATCTATATATATATATATATATATATATATATATATATATATATATATATATATATATATATATATATATATATATATATATATATATATATAAAATTGAAAATATAATTAATTTTTATAAACTTAAATATGTTTTATATATTTTTAATATATAAAATGTATTAAAGATGAAATGAGTGTGAAATAATATTAAATTTTAATATAATATTATTTATATTAAAAACGCATACACTTAAAAATATAATAAATGTAAATATATACTGATATAGACCATATTGTTTATGCTTTTTCAACAGGTCTGTTATGTTTATTCGACAGGTCTGTTATATGAGAATGGCTGTTAAAAGAGTAGCCTGGTAACGTTTACTCTGAGTACATTTTTAATAAGCTACTTTTTACATTTATTTGAGTAAATGTTTTGTAACCTGTCGAATAAACATAACAGACCTGTTGAAAAAGCATAAACAATATGGTCTATATCAGTATACAAAATCATACAACAACAATATATATATATATATATATATATATTGTTGTTGTATGATTTAGTATTAAAAATACTAAACTCTTGATCGTTGTAGAGTGCTCAATATTTAAGAAATATTTATTTTTTCAAAAACAGAGCGTTTTATACTTAAATATAGAAAAAACAACTTTTAATGGAACTTAAAGTTTCATGCTTATCGGCAATCATCAGCCATGATGTACCTTCATGGTACTTCATGGCTGATGATTGCCGATAGCCATGAAACTTTAAGTTCCATTAAAAGTTGTTTTTCTATATTTAAGTATATATATATATATATATATATATATATATATATATATATATATATATATATATATATATATATATATATATATATATATATATATATATATATATATATATATATATAGTAGAATATGAATAGTTATATAATTTTATGTTTATATCATTTATAGAAATTAAAAGTTGTAAAACAAGATCCTAAGTTAAATGGAAAGTTTTACAATGGAGATTCATACATATGTTTAAACGTAAGATGGCTTTATTTTTTATTTACTTTTGTCAAAGATATTTCTTAAAGACTGAAACATGTAAAATTAAAAACTCTTTCAAACTTTAGTAAGTTTTAATAGTTAAAGAACATAAATATTTTTCAGACTCGTAAAGTTAGAGATAAATTAGAATGGGATATTCACTTTTGGCTTGGATCTGAAACGACACAAGTATTTATTGACTTGATTTTTTGCTATTTTTTAGTATAGCACTTGATATTTATTTTTTGTAAAAACATTACTACAATTAAAAAATGATTTTTGAAATATTAGTATTGTTTTTTTTTTGCAGGATGAATCTGGAGTTGCTGCTTACAAGACAGTTGAATTAGATGATTACTTAGGTGGTGATCCTGTTCAGTATAGAGAGGTAAGAATATAATTTAAGAACTGTTGAATATATTTTTATACAAAAATACTTTTTTAAATTTTATCGTTATTGTAATTGATACTATTGTTGTTATTATTGTTGTAGTTATCACTGTCTTGTATTTGTATAAAAAAAAAAAATGAGTTTTAAATTTATCACTTAAATATTTACATTTACTTCTTCACATTTAATTGTCATGACAACTTGTACTCTAGATACAAGTTATTATGACACAATCAATCTTTTAGTTTTTCTTTACAACTTACAAGATAATAAATTTAAAAATCATGTTTATATTTCTATTTCAATTTTAATGTGTAGTGGCTAATAGTGGCTGATTTCTGTATTGAAGACTTTCTCTCTCCATTTTTATGCCTTAGGATAAGTCTTTTTTAGATATTTTTCAAAATAAAAATAAAGATATTTTCATAATAAAATAATACCTGTAAAACAACATTTTGAGAAACTGTGTGAAATAAAGTTTGTTTATAGGATCAAAATAAGATGGGCTAGCCTGTAGTTTCACATTTATGTGGTTTAAATAAGACAAAGTTTATTTAACTTCACAAATCAAAGTTGAGTATTTGTTAAACTTCAGTATCAAAGTTTAATAAATAAATATTCATTATTCGCTATTTGTTTAATGAAAACACTATTTGGCAGTGCTTAGGTTTAGATAAGTTTTTATTATACCATTCGCTTAGTTAAATAGATATTTTATATCTATTTTCCTTATTTAAAAGATATTTTATAGATGTTATATATTAATATTATATAGAGAAAATAAGAAAACAGTAAATCATTTAATTTCTGTTGTTCTTTTTATGTTATTATTTTTATTACTTAACTAGAAATATTTACTTGTACAAATATTAGATTGTAAAATCTTTGTGCTGTTAATATTATTGTTTTTATTGTTGATATTAACACAGAAGAAAAATAAAAGAATTCATGACATTCTATCAAGTTTTGGTTTTGATGCATTATAATATTTTTATATTCAAGGTTCAAAGACATGAATCAAAAAAGTTTCTTGACATTTTCCCAAACGGAATAGAGTAAGTTTTTTTAAAGTTATTTAAAATCAAATTTGATTTATGAAAATTTTAATTTATAATTTGATTAATAGCTAAAAAAAGATGTAAATAGTAAACACATGTGATGAAAAAGCTTTTAAGAACTTACTTTAGTTTGAATTTAATTTAAAGTTTGAAAAATTTAAAGGTAAATAAAGAAAGTTTTTAATATTGATATGTCGTTTCAATTTTATAATAATTTTTATTCTTGTTCCTTTTTAATACAAATTTGCATACAAGCAGGCTTGGTCAGGTCGGGAGAGTGCGATTGCACCCGCTTCCCGACCAAGCCTGATATAAGTATTTTTTTTATTTATATTTATCCAAGTTTTAAAACTAATTCCATTTTTAACCAATTATATTTTAACTTTAAACTTGTGTATTTTTAAATTTGTTTGTTGAAAATTTTTTTTTTTCAAAATCATGATTTATTTACATTATAACTTATGAAAATTTTCATTTTATTTGTTTCTTACCTTGAATTTAATTTTAACTTCATATTTAAAATTAGAGGTTTGTTCACTAAACTGTATGAATTCACTAAGGTGTGTCATACCAAATTATATGAGTTTGTATATGTTTTATACTTTAGTGCCTTGAAAGCAGAGGTGTTAAGTCGAAAAAAAACTCCAATCGTTGAGTTTTTCAGAGTACGACTCCAACTCCGACTATATTATGCAATAATTAAAATTTTTTTTTTTTGCAAAATATATGTTCTTTGAATGTTAAATATTTTGTACATGCACATGCTATATGAAAAATTTTACTATTGGAGTCGAATTGTTGATTTTGTTAGCCACTCAGACTCCGCTAAAAATGTCACAACTCCCACTCCACAGCCCTGCTTAAAAGTTGTTATAGATACATGTTTCTTATGTAAGGCTTAATGAACAGCTGCTAAAATAAGATTGACTAAAAAAGGCATGATTTGATATGCTTGAAATAAAATAAAGCTTATATTGATAAAATAAGAATTCACTCTTAAATTTAGCAAACTCTTGATCTATTTTTCCTGCACCACTTGTATTTTTTTTTATAGCAATGAAAATTTGTTTCTTTTTTTTATGGTCTCAATAGCGATGACTAAAGAGCTACAAAGTTTCCTTTCTATATGAAAATTTAATTTCAAAGCATGACGATTTTTTTATGTTAATGTACAAAATGAAGAATATAATTTTTAATCTTCATTAAAAAATGAAGAATTATTTTAGAATCTTATTTTTTAGATGCCTAAAAAATAAAATTATACATTTTTTTTCCTATAATTCCATAAATAAATACATATTACAAAAAAAATTTGAGGTTTTCATTTTTGAATAATTTGTGTTACTTTTGAAGTTAATATAGCTGGGACTGCCTTGTAAATTTTTCTTAATTTGACTTTAGATTATCATGTTTTACTCCTTTCACTCTTAATTTTGTTATCATATAACTGTTGTAAGTATATGGTTGTTTGTTCTATGAAGGCTAGCAATTTACATAGTCTTTTCAGTATTTATATAAAGGCACACCTACAGTAGGCAAAAAATTAATGACATAAACATTTTTTTTTTTTAACTTTGCATAAAATAATTAAAAAATGGTTGCTAATTTTTGTTTTTAAAGAAAAAACTATCAATTATTTGAAAATAGCATTATATTGAAGCATTGTATTTAAAAGTTGTCAAATATAAGTTCATACAATATAGAAAAATCAACTGTGCTTATATTCATCAAATAATCTCTCTCAAAGAAAGAAAAAAGAAAATGGCATAAATAAGAAAAATAAGAAGTTAGGCAAAAAATTACATTTCGATATTTGGTTGGGCTACTCCTTGTCCGAATAACTGCTTGCAGATGTCAAGACATTGATTCCACCAGAGATTTCGTTTCTTCTGGTGTTTTTCTCCCATTAATTTTCTCCCATGCTTCGACTATGGCTGCTTTTAGATCATTTTGTCTTCTGTAAGCTTGATCTCCAATTTTTCAGTCTAGAATGTACCACACATGCTAAATGGGATTAAAATCAATGAGATTAAGGTCTGGGAGACTGGGCAGGCCATTCCATCACATTAATATCATTCTTTTAGAAATATTCTTTTGTTGCTATGGCAGTATGTTTTGGGTCATTGTCCTGTTGAAACACAAAATTGTTTCCAAATCTAAATTTACAAGCAAAGGGCTTGATATTTTTCTTTAAAATATCTATATATGAAATGACTTTCATAGCTGATTTAATGAAAGTTAGTTTACCAGTTCTTCGCTGACCCATTGATCACCACACCATGACATTTCCACTACTGAAAAAAAGGGATTCCAATCTACTTTATCAAATCCACCACTATGTTTCATTGAGAAATCGTCCAATGTTGTTTTACGCATGCAGCTATAAATTTATCAATTTTATTCAATTAATCGATATCTTATGTGTTATGTATATATTTTATGTGTTATATATGTAAATACCTTATGTCTTTTGTATATATTTTATGTGTTATATATGTAAATATCTTATGTGTTACATATGTAAATATAATTTTAGATGTTAACTTACCAAAATTTACATTTTTATCCAAAAAACTTTCAAAAAATACTAAATAAAATTTTGTGTCAATAATTATTTTGTTTAAACTATATTTTATATAATACATGTAAAAAAAATTATCTGGTCATTATTTTTTCATTAATCTTTAATTATACAGCTATTCACGAAAGTTTAAACGAGGGTGTAATTTTAAGAACAAATCTTTGGTTTTTCTTAAATAAAAATGTAACGGAAATAGATGTCAAGATAATTTTTCCCCATTCTGAATCTTGCGTACAAAAAACAGTCAAAACCTGGAAGCTTACCAAGGACGTTGTTGACATGCCATTTTCCGGGAGACCATCAAAGCTTAGTGACCGTGAAAAAAGTAGCATATTCAGAAGCTGTAGAGAGAATCCTAGGCACAGCTACAAAAAGCTAGCACAAATCTTCAACAAGTCGAAAAATAAACATAATGTAAGCAAAGTGCTCGTTAGGCAAATATTGCTGCAAAAAGGTATTGTATCGTACATTGCATCAAGAAAACCTATTTTATCAATCATGGGCCGACTTAACGGCAAATGTGGTCAAAAGAAAGATTAAGCTGGACTGTTGAAGACTGGTTAAAAGTTATTTGGAGTGATGAAACTAATTTTCAAGTTGTAAACCGCATGGGAAGACTATATGTCAAAAGATTTGCAAATAAATCAGTACACCTACAAAAATACATTGGAAATGTGTTAAATTCCATCAATCAGACAGTTGTAAGATAGAAGCAAGCAATTTATCTTTCAACAAGATGGGGCTCCAGCTCATACAGGTAAATCAATCAAAGAATATTTTTTGCAGACAAAGATAAATGTGATCCAAGGGCCCTAGGGCACCAAGGGCCCTAGATCACCAGATCTCAACAAAAATAAAAATCATTAAAAATTGGCATAATAATATAAAAACAGAGTAACAAACCAGAGAGAATTAGTGGATAAGATGACATAAGAGAGATTGAATGTTTTAAATAACACATGTTTAAAAAGATATGCTTCGAAGAAAGAGACTAAGAGAAAATAATATTGTAAACAAACACAAATAAGCAAAATAAAAAAAAAAATAATAACAAATATTTAAATAAAAAGTATACATTAGACACTTCTACATACAATATACAACACGTTACATGTGTTAGTTAAAAACAGTAAACGACAACATATATAAGAAGCAACAACAATATAAATAACAACACAAACATAACAGCAAACTCGACAAAGGAATATTTTAAAATGAAAATATATTTATCATTCATACACGACAAACAAACAATACTCAAAAATACATGACAAAATAAATAATGTGCAAATTATTAAAAACTAAAAAATTGTTCTTTTTATTCATTCTTTTAAATGTATACTTTTTTTGCTTTAAGAAAAATCTGTAGTTCTTTTTATTTTCTATTTTTGAAAATTTTTTCTTTTAACTATTTTATTGTTTTTTTTTTTGTTTCTTTTTTTTTTTTTTGTCTTTCTTTTTATCGTTATTTATTTATTTTAACCTTGCTTAACTTCATTTTCAATTATCTTTTAAATCATTTTATGTTTTTTCAATTCTTCTTTTTTTTTCACCGTTAAGTTAAAAATCCGCCATTTGCGATGTCATTGCAATGTCCAATTCGATTTTATTTTACATTTTGATGTACATTTTAATTTTTTACAGTTTTTAGAAAATTTGAATAAACAGATAAGTTAAAAAAAAAAAAACATTAAAAAACTTTCTTGTTCCATTTATTTCTTTTTGCCCACTGTATTTTAAAAAAAGAACAGTAAATCCTGAAAAATATTGCATTTACTATGCTCAATTGTTATCTTTATCACATAGAACTCCATATGTATATCATGGTATCAGATAATATTTCATATGTATATCATGCAGCAAGTCATCAGAGACAAGATATATTGAATCTCATTTAAGAAATTTGTTTACTTTGTAATAAACTACTGTTGGATGCAATGTTGCTTGAATTTTGTTCCAATGAAAATTTTATAACTTTCCCTTGTACAACAAACTTGTAGTTTTCTGAAAAAAAAAAGTATTAATTTTTACTTATTGTTTTATTAAAGTAGTGTTTGTTTTTTAAAAATTTATTTATGTTAGCAGTTAAATCTTCTGGTTTCAATTGAAACTTAAATTTTTTTCATTCAAACATTGTTTGTTTTCATTACATTTTTTTTATATAATTTTTCTATAAGTATGTCCATGTTATTTGCTTTTTATTTGACTTTAAATATTATAAACTTACTACCAATAAATTTTCAAAAGAAAATCTTAACCTCCTCGAGCATTTTGAACATGTCTTTTTAAAATTAGAACATTAAAATTTGGAATTAAAAGGAATTTTAAATATAGATCTTGTTTAGTAAAGCCAAAAAAATTCCTTTGGGTTTAATTTGGATATAGATGGAATGGTCAAAGGATTTTAAATCAAAGAATCAAAGCACACACGTTTTGAAGAGCTTTTTAGAAGACTCTAGACTTTCAACTAAATTGGGTTTTCTTAACAAAAAAAAAATCCAAGCTCTTTCTTTAGTTTTGAAAAGGACCTTGTAATTTTAGGCGTAGTGAAAACAATCTCTAAGTACTAAAGTTAACTCAATAAGCAAGAAATTCTCGTGAGGTTATTTTTTAAAACAAAATTATTTTTTGGCCCCATTTTTGTAAAATATTTTCTTAAATTTTTTTAGTAAACAAATAATATTTGATTTAAAATGGTTTTAGGTTAACAATCAATAATTTTAATTAAAATTTTATTCTATTAATAAATGGTAGAGGAACGATGCATATCAGTTTATTTATATTTTTAATATTTTTTCTTTCACTTGACCAGAACTTTTTATCAAGTAATTTGTCCACAAATTTGATTTTTATTTGTTCATCAATTTATTCGTGTAGTGTTGTGTATGTAATAACGCTCTTATTTTGAGGTGTGGGATAGTGTTGCAGGTTTGAGTCCTCCTCTAGGTTGAAGTTTTTGTAAATTTTAATGTTTTATTTCTAGGAGGTCATTACTATTAATAATGACCTCCTAGTAATTGTTTGCTTTCAATACATTGTGGTTCCATGTTCAATTCCTCCTCAGGGTGCTCTTTTTTTAGTTTTAATATTTTTTCTTTGATTATGATAAAAAATATGTTGGCATTATATTTTAGTTTATAGCCAATATTGTAAATCAATATTTGCTATATATATATTAGGGATGTGCCGGGTTCCCGGTTTGGACCTGGGGACCCAGTAATTTGGCTATTTTCCTGGGTAACCAGAATTGTCCATTTTGTTTCAGTGCCCAGCACTGAGTATCTTAGAAGAAGTTTGTAATAAACGTAAGCTTTAAGTGCTGTAACTATTTGTTTTAGTGTTACTTTAAATTGTGTCAAAATATTATTAATATTTGCTTTTAGTTAAAAATTTAACAGATAATTTCTTGATATAAGAGTGTTACGGAGTCGATAAACACAAAATTCTATTTGCCTAATATATATGCGTCTCTTTTTTTAAATATTTAAAAAAATATATTTTTACAAAAATAATCAGAATGTATTGCAAAAAGGAAACTGATTTGTACGGATATAAAATCAGTAATGCAAAATAAAATAATTTGTGAAGCGAAAGAAATAAAAAGAAAAAAAAGTATTTAAATAGATTCTTTTTATTGTGTGAGAGAATTTTTCACAAGAAAATTTTTAGTAAGTAAACTTTAAATGAACGAGTACTTTGGTCTAACTGAGTTGAATGAATAAATACTTTGCTCTAACTAAGTTGCGTAATTGGTTTTAAATATAGTTTTTGCTAAACAATTGTTTTCAATAGATTGAATAAATTGGTAAACTAAATGATTATTTACAATAAATATGTAGGATTTCTTAGATGTCTATTATAAACAACTTTTTAAAGATTTGTTTAAAATTATTTATATATTTACTATATAAGTATATATACATTTTTTATAATAATTTTTTTTTTTTAATTTATTTTATTTAAATTTTATTGTCCAGAAATGATTTGACTTGAAATGTTTCAAACAACAAAAACATTTTCGAATTTATTTCGAACCATTAGTCTTTCAAAATTTCGTTAAGCAAAATTGATCTTATTGTTACCAATAATGCAAGTGATATAAAGGCTGGAGTAAAAAACAGTGGCATGTCATCAATTCCATGCTTTATTCATACTTTGCAGCTATGTATTCACGACTCTATATTTAGCCAAAAAATCCATCAAGGACATTTTTAACTTTATGCAGAGGAATAACAACACATTTTAATCATTCCCCAAAATTAAAATCAATTCAGCAGCAATTAAGTACCTCATAAAATGAAACAAAATGTTCTGACTCGCTGAAACATTTCGTTTGAAATGTTACAAAGAATGTTTGAACAAAAAGTTTTTTTAGCTACTTATGCAGCAGAATTTAACAAAATAAATTTCCTAATAGCCATCAATCGGAAATAATTGAAAAAGCTTGTTCACCTTCCATTTGAAAACTTATCAAATTTGCTCCATTTGAAAACTAAAAAAAAAAATGTTGCAGACTCATCTAACTACTGTCCCATTAGTCTCTTTACTATTATAAGCAAGGTTTTTGAGTCTTTAAATAACCAACACTTATTCTCTCATCTTAAATCTAATAACTCATGACCATGATTGGTTGAAATTTGGACGACTTTAAATTAGGTTTTCTCAAAAACCACATAATCAATTGTTATAATCTTTTTTTATTATAATGCATAATTTAATGATGCATATTTTATAATGATACATAATTATTTTTCTTGTGTATGAGTGTAGTTTTGTTTAATCCTCATTATTTTTTGCCATGTTAACTAAATAGTCAAAAAATTGAAAAAAGAAATCGAAATTTTACATATAAAATCCATTGTTCTCATGTTCCATGATTTCAAAAGCACATAAAGTTCTAAAATCAACTATTGGAATTATTATAAAATGTTATAAGTAAAACAAAACTGTAAAATAAAATCGGGAAGTGGTGGAAAATGAAGATTTATTTCCAAAAAGAAGGCAAAATTAATAGTATTAATAGTAATTAATACTTAATTCATCAAAATCCGACTCAGTCACAACAAGATTTAGCTACGAAGTTTAAATGCAATAAAGCTTTCTTTCAAAGAGTATTCAAAAAGGAAACTCTGAATGAACATTACAAGAAAAAAAATACTAAAAAGGTCGCTTGATGGAGAAATCAAGGCAATTGGGCGAGCTAAAAATTTGCTTAAATTAATTACGAAAAATAAATTATGCATTTTAGAAGACGATGAAACTTAATGTAAAAAAGATCACTCGGTGCTTCAAGGTAATCAATACTATTATCAGTAGAAACGTTATAAAGCTTCTAACAAATTTTAGTACATTTAAGTAAGAAAATCACTTTGGAGGTCATTGTATGGCAGGAGATTTGTAGTTGAGGTTTTAAAAGCTCTCCTTTCATAATTAATCAATCTTTGACACCAGATCTATATGTGAGTGAATGCTTGAAAATATGACTTATTCCTCTAGTTAAAAAGCAAAAATAAACGACTTCTTCCTCTAATTAAAAAGCACAAATATTCAACCTTATTTTAGCCAGATCTGGCATCGATCCACTATTCCAAAAAAGTAATTCAGTGGTATAAGTAAAAATTGTCAAATTTTGTTCTAAAGGATGCCAATCCACCAAACTGTCTTGAGTAGCGAGTTATCAAATCTTACTTGGCAATTGTGAAGGTAATATTGAGGAAATGAGGCAAATGTGAAAATAGTATAAAAAATTTCTGAGATTTATGGATTAATGCTAAAAATAAGTGCCGCAAAGTAAAATTGTGGTGATGATGGAGGGTACTTTATAAAAAAAATCAATTACTGGCAAGTCCTAAAGTTGAGGCGATATTTATTTTTATTTAAATAAAAATGAGTCGTGTAAGTATCATTATAAAAAGAAAATTATTACAATTGGTTAAGTTGTCTTTGAGATAACTTAATTTAAAATTGTCCAAATTTTAACTGATCATAGTGATACTTTCTGATCATAAATATGGGTTTTGGTCTTCTTGTTCTACTGCTGATTTGTTAACAGTAATAACTAATAGGTTTTATCATGCATTAGATAAATGTAAAGAGGTTAGGACTACTTCTAAAGCCTTTGATAAAATTTGGCAAGCTGGCCTTCTCTATAAGATCTCTTCTTACAGTATATCATGTAACATTCTCAGGATTATCGAATCCTTCCTTACCAATCATAGTATAAAAGTTGTCATCAATAGACAGCACTCTTCTTCATTTCCTGTAACTTTAGGGAATCCTCAAGATTCTATTCCTGGCCTTTTACTTTTTTTACAAAAATACATTGTAAAAATAGTTGAACCTGCTCTTGCAGCCAACCTTCAACCATTGTCACATTGTTGTAGTGTTGCTTCTCTTTTTCTTTTTTATAAATACTATAATGGGCACTTCTCTAAAAATTAATTAAAATACATGTACTTGTTAAAACTAACAATAAATTATAAAAGAATCTTACAAATCTTTTCCACTTTAAAAAAATATTTTTTTTACTTTAAAAAACTTTAAACTTTAAAAAAATAAAGAACTTATTTTATATATTTTAAACTTCAATAAATTCTTTCCTAAATAAGGAAAGATAAATTACACTAACTCATTCATTTGTTAAAACTGTGCAAATATATAATTGATACAAATATAAAAGTAAAAATGTTTATGTTATATGTATATTAAATTTTTTTTTGACATAAAATGACATTTAATAAAAACATAACAATAAAATTTGTTATTTGCTTGATTGTTGTGTGGTTTTTAATAAGTTTTTATCTTTTTAGATACCTTGAAGGAGGTATTGAGAGTGGTTTTACTAAAGTTGATCGTGATAGTTATACCAAGCGCTTACTTCATGTAAAAGGAAAAAGAAATGTTAGAATCGAGCAGGTAGTTTATTTTTGATCTAAAAATATTACTTTTGTAAAATTACTAACTTATATTTTGTAATTTTTATTGAAAGGCTTGTAAAGGAATGGAATCAGCACTTTTTTACAGAACCAAAAATTGGTAATGTACAAATAGTACATTGAAACAAGTATTGAATATCATTTAGGTTATTCAAAAAAGAGATCCCTAAAAATTAAATAAAGCAATGCTAAGAAATTTTTTTTTGTTTTTTTTGTCCTAATTTAGTTAGTATTTCTTGTGAATTTAGTACTTCTCATAAAGAAAAACTTCTTGTGTAGAAAATTTTAGTATTTCTTGTGAGAATGGCGTTAATATTTTATTGTGTTTTCAAACTGTTTTGTATTTATTCATTGATTACTTGATACTTTGGTTATGAGTTCCAACACTATTTAATTGGTGAAAATTGTCTGGTCATTATTTTTTCTTTGACCTTTTAATTGATTATTTGTTTTTTATTACAGATGTTTGTTTTATTTTATTTTTTGGGTTGAGTAGCATGGCTGAGATGAGGTTGAGTGGAGCCTTTATGTGAGCGTATATATACAGTGATATGTATTATTTCTAAACTGAATTTAGTTTGCTGACTTTACTATGTGAATTTATGTTTTATTACTCAATTAAAATTCAAAATTTTTATTTTATTAAATTAAAAAATATAAATTTCATAGTTTATACATAAGTTTTTAATTTGTACTAATTTGCTTTTATTATAAAAATATAAATTAGGTTGAAGTCACCTACAAATCTCTAAATCATGGAGATGTATTTATACTTGACGATGGAATGACAATATATTGTTGGAATGGTAAAGATTCGAGCAAAAGAGAAAGAATTAAGGTACTTAATCCTTCTTTAAAACTGTAGAAAACCTTGAGTTAGTATTAAAAAATTAAAAATGAATCTTTAGATAGATCATTAGATTAAAATTTTTTAATCTTTAAATTTTATTAAAATCTTTATGATATAGCAGGCCTCGGCCTCAAATGAGCACATGATTGAAGAAAAGCTCTCTTAAAACAAATTTGGGGAGCTTTGTGAGCTGCTCCTCATTTAAATTGGTGCTCTTTTTTAATTTTAATTTTTTTTTTGCAACAACCTTGCTTTTTAAAAAACATTGCAGTATATTATGCAATTAATTTTTTTTTAACTGACATTGTGTTTTTTATTTTAGTTACAGCGATACTTATACTTTTGTGAGAAAAATTATACTTTTGCAAGAGCCATAAATTGCTCCTGCAAACTGTTTTAGAGGAGTATGGATGAGAGCTAAAACTCTTCTCGCCGAGGCCTGATATAGAAAGAAAAGAATGTTAATAATATATTATGTTTTTATTTTTAAAATTTCTTTTGAAGAAATTTTTTTAGTTAGCAGACAGGATTGAAATTGAAATTCATTTTTAAAATGTTTTATTTAGTCAAAATATTTATTTTTGATTCAGTTGCTATGCTTTTTTAATGGGTTCAGTAGCTATGCTTTTTTAATAGGTATAGTAAAACATTAATTAGTTAACAGAATAAATTTTGGAATAAAACTTGTCACTCAAAAAATTTGTTTATTTATTTATAAGGCTATATGATTGCAGACTAGCTATTAAATATTAGCTTATTGTTACAAAATCTATTTTTCAGTTTTTTTAAGTTAGCAAAGATCACCTTATTGATGTTTAGCTATTGAAGCTTCAGATTATATCTTTTTTCTAGGTTTTCTTCTTTAAGGTGTTTACTTAAGTTATATATATTTTTTATTGTATCTGTTACAAATATAATTATAACACTTATCATTGTTATTATTTATTATTTTTACATATATTACCCCCTGCTAATTATATAGTTTTTATGTATTAAATATGTACAATGGAGGAAAACTTTCATTTCTGTTATATGCATAATTATTATAATTCATTACCGAGTATAAAATATTTTCCAGGCAGCTGAAATTGCTAGAAAGATACGAGATGAGGAACGTGGGGGTAAAGGCCAAGTAATATTAATTGGTAAATGCTTTGCTTTTTTTAAAGTTTACTTTTTTTTTTTAGTTAATAATTGAAAAAAATAGATAAAATTGTTTTCTTTTTTCAATGTTTACTTACTGCACTCTATAATATTAACATATTTGATATTTATAATTTAAATTATTTGTAATGCTTTTATTATGTTTGGCTCATTAAAGTTACTTTGGATCATTACATTACTTTGACAAATTAAGTTACTATTGTGCAACGATTTTCCTTTTAAATTATTTTCTATTTGTTAAAAAGATTCAGGAAAAGACAACGACAAACGCTTTTTTGAAGCTCTGGGTGATAAAGGTCTGATAAAGTCTGCTGAAGAAGGTGGTGATGATTCAGAATTTGAAAAGAATGGTATCAGAGAGATAGTATTGTATAGGTATTGATTTATACTTTTTTATTTAACTATACTTAGTCACTTTGTTTTTCGTTTTTTTAAATCTTTTTATTTATTTTATCATAAGTTTTTGCCACAAGTTGCAATAAATCAATGAATGATTTATAGATAAATTTTTTCATCAATTTAATTGAATTATGGAAATGCATATGTATATATATACATATACATACATATGTGTATATATATATATATATATATATATATATATATATATATATATATATATATATATATATATATATTTATATACAGGCCTTGTGATGAATAAAAACTGCGCGACGCATAAGCACGACGTGATTTTTGACGTCATTAAATTCTTTTTATTTGCTTTTCGTATTTATCGACATTAACTGCACCAATTTACTTAATTACCGCAAAACTACTTGAAATCATTAATGTAGAAATGTTATTATTTTAAAATGTTTTGGAATGTTTCGTTTTTTAAAATGTAAAAACATTTGTTTATTTTCTCGACGTTTGACACGTTTTGTCTATACTAAACGAATAAAAAACATTATAACTAAACATTTTTAAAAAGATTATAAAATATGCTAATATTTGATTTTTTTTTTCTCAAATATATAATTTGAAGTTTTTCAAATAATTATTTTTTCTTTTTAAAAAGTCAGCAAGTAATAAACTGGAAATTTTAATATTGTACGATTAAAAACTGTGCAATAGCTAATATTTTTACTAGCGATTTTATATAATATTTATTTATTTGTTTTCATAAAGCGGTTGATAAGCACATTCACTCGTATTACTAAAAAACTTTAACAAACGTTTTGAATAGATTTTTAATGTTTACAAGGAATTTTATTTTTGGTAAAATAAAATAAAATGTTAGAATAAAAATATTATAGGTATAAAAGACATATTTCGGCGAAAAAATTATTCTTAAAAATTATTCGAAAAACTATTGACGTTCTATTTTTCAGCAGCTGATCTTGAGCACGCTTCGTTGAGTTTTGGTAACTTTTAACAAAAAAGCGATTGTTATTATTTGAGTAATTTTTTTCGAGTTACTTTTTTAAAAAAATTTTAATAGCTGTACTTTTTTTTATTGAATCAAGTAGAATATGTTTTAATATTATTCCTTTTATTTTTTTTTATTTGCGCTTACCAATTTTAGAAATGTTTCCTCGAAATTACTCTTAAATACTTTAAATACCTCTAACAGTTAATAAATATTTTTAAATCTATGGAATAATTTAAAACCTAACAAACCCCCGTAAAATAATTATTCAAGTAAAATATCTAAAACTAAAAGAAAGTATTTTTGTTCAATTTTATCGGCAACTTTGCTATTGCTGAATAATTTTATTAAAATGTTACCTTAAAAAGATTTAAACTTTTTTTTTTTATCTGAATTTTTTCTACTTGTAAATAATGAGCATATTTAATTTTTTTGTAAATCAAACTTTTGTATCAACTGCGCGTGCGGTTTTTAAAATACTTTATTAAATGTTAAAATAATCGTAAATTACTTCATTAAAATTCCGCTCAAAAATATCTTTAAATATACTCAAACAAAAAATTTTTTGCTCGACGCAAATAGCCCTAGCTACACGCAAAATCGCTCTTGGACGACGTAAAATTCACATCGCCCGACGCTTTATCGCATGGCCTGTATATATATATATTTATATATATATATATATATATATATATATAAATATATATATATATATATATATATATGTATATATATATATATATATATATATATATATATATATATATATATATATATATATATATATATATATATGTATGTATATATACATATATATATATATATACATATATATATGTATGTATATATATATATATATATATATATATATATATATATAATATATATATATATATATATATATATATATATATTTGTATATTTTATCACATACGGGGACAGACTTTACAAAAAACAAACACTTATATATATATATATATATATATATATATATATATATATATATATATATATATGACTGCCAAGATTTTAATCAAAGTTACCACTGCATGTTGTAGAATGTTCTGTGGCTCCTGAACTTGATTTTTACATTTTTTAATTTTTGATTTTTACAAGCTCTTTGGTGTTCTGCATTTCTTGAAATGATTTCCTTTTTAGTCTTATCAATATATATATATATATATATATATATATATATATATATATATATATATATATATATATATATATATATATATATATATATTTCTGCATGAGCATTTAAGTTGGTAAACTCCTGAATTAGAGTTTAGAGGTAGTTTTGTTTTGTTGTTGCATAATATATTATTTAAATTGGGAGCTGAAGTAAATATAACTCTGATGTTTTGTTTTATTCATTCTCTTTGGAGTTTTGGGCCAATAACAGGTATCCAGGTAGTTTAACAAACTTTTTATCTAATTGATTAGATGTAGTATTTTTTGAAACGGTTATGGTCATAGTTATAGTTTTATAGTTATTTAAATAGTTTTTGGTTATTTTAATAAGACTACTTTTGTTATAGCTGTTTTCAAAAAATATATTTTTGAGGAAATCAATTTCTTGTGAAAGATATTTTCGTGAGCAGATTTGTTTTGGCCTACATAAAATCTTTAAAGACACCAGTGGTTATACTTGGATTGATGTTTGAGTTTTTTTGTATTTGCATCTTTACGGTGTACTTGAAACTCATAAAATCCATTCATTATATTTGCAATACAATTATCTAAAAATTAAGTTGTTTTCTTTAGTTTTCAAGTTAAACAGTATATTTTATGGAGGGTTTTTGTTTATTTAAAGATTTAAGAAACAGTTCTTGCTTTTCTTTTGAATCGAAGTGAGCATGGCTATCATCCACATATCTATTTGTAATCTTTTGTTTATTACCTAATGACGCTGACCACAATAGTTCAGTTAAATATCGTTAATGTATTATTATATCAAAATATATTTAAAAATAGTTATACGCTGTCTTTTTATTGAAATCAACTTACATATTATAAACACATCATATAACAAGAATATGACTTTTAAAGATAAATAGCCCTCGTAATTAGGGTTGACATTCAACAATGCTGATCTAACTCTATAACTGCTAACCTAGAAATATTTAAGTTTTATATCGCTATTATCACTTCTATGTTTTATGATGAAACCTTGGTATCAATTTTTTTTTTGCTGGCCTCTAACAGATTAAGGTCGGCAAGTTATTGCTGACCTCAATTTTCCTAATTCGGAAGGCTGATATGTATGGTTGTTTATTTACTTTTTTTTTAGTTTAGCATTTTTTTTTATAACAAATTTGTTATCTGCAACTTTAACGTCATCTAAGCAAACACTGTATTGTATTTTTGTATATAATTTTTGTTGTTGTTATGGTTTGTAACGTCTGATGATTGCATGTAGCGTGAAACTCTGAGTTATGTTACAAATTTAATTTTATTATTATTTTAATATTATATATATATATATATATATATATATATATATATATATATATATATATATATATATATATATATATATATATATATATATATATATACATATATATATATATATATATATATATATATATATATATATATATATATATATATATATATATATATATATATATATATAAATATGTATATATATATATATATATATATATATATATATATATATATATATATATATATATATATATATATATATATATATATATATATGCAGCCTGGTTGGAAGTAAATTTATTAAAAATAAAAAACCTTGAACGTTAGACTATAATTAATTTTTAGGTAGCTTGTCTTCTCAATCAACAATTTATATAATATATTAGAAAGACATTAAAAAAGCTATAAATAAATACAACATTGTAAAATAGAAAGTTACTCATTACTGTAATTTTGTTATTTGGATAATTTTTTCATCATTGTCATGCTTAAAAAGTTCTGGAATGTTCCTTATTTCCTGGTTTATCGAGTCATAATTGATTTTGATTGATTCTCTCATTATACATTCTTCACACTGATTTATTTGTAAGAAATTGTGGATGTGTCCAATTAAACGTGTTGTCACATTTAATCTCAATTTTCGAGAATGTGACGACATTCATCAATAAAGATTCTTCAATTTTATGTGTGTGCATGTGTGTGTTGTTATACATAATATTTAATTTAACTTTTATTAGAGTAACAGATTCTAGTGGAGAATTAAAAATTGAGGAAGCCTCTAGACCACCGTTAAAAAAAGAAGATCTTGATTCTAATGATTGTTTTATTCTTGATGCTGGCCAATCTGGTGTGTTTAGCTGGATCGGAAAAAAATGTACACAGAACGAAAAGAAAGCTGCAATGAATAATGCTATGGTAGGTATTTAAAAAAACAGTAGAGAACAAAATTATATTTGTTTTGAGAGTTTGATGGAATCGAATTTTGTGCAATCAATGATAAATTATTAATATTTTGAATTATTATCATTGTTTTGTTATTTATAAGTGTTAAATGATTATTTTGAATGTTTAAATTTTGTGCATTTAATAATTTTTTAATTATATATTTTTAGTGGCTAATTGTTTTTTTGTTACCTAGTTTTGTTTTTCTAACATTAGTCTTTATCCTTTAATAAATTAATTTTAAATTAAATTATATATTGTTTCTGCTTTCAAAGAAATTCATAAAAGAAAAAGGTTATCCTGAATACACAAAATTGACACGTGTAGTTGAAGGCGGTGAAAACCCTGTCTTTAAACAGTTTTTTGTTTCTTGGGAATCAGATTGTGATCAAAAAGGTTTAGGAGTGCTTAATAAGAGTAATATTGGTAAGTACTGTACATTTTTTATATATTATCTAAATATTAGTATCAACTGCAGTGTAATTAGGTTTATATGGTTACCATGGTACTTTTTTGTCATAATAGATTTGCTTCATACGTAGATACTGCCTGCTCATACCTAGTTCTCACTACTATGAAATATTATAATAAGGTTGTTTAGTTAATGTGTTAAGGTTGGGGACTTGAAATTGCTACAGGCAGGGGTTTCAGTACATTTTAACTAAGGATTATAGTTAGGGCAGACATTGTATATGTTTTTAAGACAAGTATAATAAGTAAAAATTTATAATTATGTTTATATATAATTATATTTTAGCATCATACAATACTGAAGCATTTGAAATAAATAAGCTTCACTTGAATAAAGATCACCAAAAAAAAAATGTTATGTTTGACGATGGAACTGGCAAGATTAGAGTAAGCATTATGAAAAATTTTGTTAATTATTACGATTACTGAACTTATTACCACTATTTTTAACTATTTGATTTGATATGTTTATTGTAGGTATGGCGCATCAACAATTTTAGAAAAATTGATGTTCCTGAGAATGAATATGGAATATTTTATGAAGGAGATTGCTATATTGTTTTTTATTCTTACAAAGAAAAGATGAGTGATAAATATGTAATTTATTTCTGGCAGGTAAAATTGCACTTTCAAATATACATTTTTCTTAAAAAATTTTAATATTTTTTAAAACATTTTTTTATTTTTGGCTAAAGTCTTTTTAATTCTTTTAATTTAGGGCTTAAAAAGCACACCTGATGAGAAAGGTGCATCAGCCATCATGGCACAACAACTTGATGATCAGTATGATGGAAAACCTGTCCAAGTAATTTTTCTTTTAGTTTTTGAAATACAATTATAAAAAAAACTATTTTTTAAAAATATTTGTAATACTTATTTTTTATATTTTAAAAACTTTATTCTATTTATCAGTTTTAAAATTCATTTATTACTTTACATTTGTTTCAAATTGTATTATCAACTGATTTTCTGATATAATATTATTATAGAAAATATGTATAAGTATCTGTTCAATCTATTTTTCAGTCAATATATGTAAGGAGTGAAAAAGTAGTAATAAAAAAATTCAGAATGTTTTTATTTTTATTAAGATGACAAAAACTATTACAGTCTATTAAGTTGCGTCTTTTTAGTTTTTTAAAAAATTATAAAATTAAATTATTTCCTCAATTAAATTTAATGGTATTTTCATAAAGTTACTTACTATGTTGTTTACCATAAATGATAAATTAAGTCTTTACTATATATATATATATATATATATATATATATATATATATATATATATATATATATATATATATATACAGGGGTGGGACTGCAAAATGTGAACGTTTTTGTTTTATTATAACTATTTTCTCGTTAGATGTAGTTGTACTCTCTCACTCATCAGAAAGTGTCTAAAGAGTTGTTAAATATGAACTATTTTAAATAAGAATGTCCAACCATTGGACATTCTTATTTAAAATAGTTCATATTTAACAGAAAATTAATTATTACAATCAGAAAAGTGTTCACATTTTGCGGTCCCACCCCTGTATATATATATATATTAGGGGTAGTCAATTTAAAGATAGTCAATTAGGATTTTTTTTAGAAAAAAGATTCTCAAAAATCATCAAAAACAACTGGTTTTACAGGTCCAAGGGGGGAAGTTAAATAAAAAAACTGTTTTTCTGCAATATTTATTTTTACATATATATTCCAGTAAAAAAACATGGTATCATAGTTTTAAAAAAAGTTTTTTTTTTTGTTTTCTGAATTGAAAAAGTTATGTTTTATAATATTTTCATTTTACTGGATTGTATTTTAAAAACAAATAAATTCAGATGTGTTTATGTTCATTTTTAACATTTTTCTTCCTTTTATCAAGAGAAGATAAGCTTTCAACTAATTAACTTTTAGAAAGTTTATTTGAGCTTTTTCCAGATGTTCTGAAAGCACACTGATCTTTTTCAACAGTTAGCAATGTGTTCTGTTTATCCTCTTCATTATTATATCAATGAACAAATTGTTGTCATTCCTACAGCTCATTCTGAATGATTACTAACTAAAGTTAAATATTCTGCATAGCTCTGAAAGCTTTTAAAAATAGATTGAGTAAACCAAAACTCAGGTGAAAGCAAAAGCCAGCCTTTTATTCTTTGTTATTCTAATCTGATTTGGGGTGGGATAGCATCCCGTTGCATCCCAACCCACTTCGAGCACTGGTTTGTATAGAAAGTTTAAAACTGCATCAACAGAATATGGTTTAGCAAGTAGTTTTTGGTACCTGTGCATTTGGTCTATTGCTTTTATAAAAAGTTGAGGAGCTCAAATAGAGTCATAAGCCTGTAAATACTGTTTTGCATAAATGGCAAAAGTAACTGTAAATTTACTTATTAGCCTGATTTCTGTCATGAGTTTATTGTTTCGATTTACAAACTCAAGTTGAAAGAAGCTGTAGCTTTAGGTAGTACAGTGCTTTGGATAGGAACCCAGCATGATGAACCAGGTTTTCTTAGTTTTACTGAATATGGAGAAAGGTAACTACCAACAAGCTGTGCAAGCTTCTTCCTATCTTCTCTGATAATATCTTTATTTTCTTTCATCTTTGCAATCTATTTTTGACAAAAGTTTAAAGTCTCTAGAGCAGATTTTCCAAAAAAAGTTTTTCAAATTTTTCCAATCTTTCCAATCAAAACCTTTCCAATCAAACTTTATCGGTTATGATTGTAATTAAAACCAGGATTTTCAAAAGCAGTTTTTTAAATTGTAATCATTAAATTATCTGGTCCTGTGAAATGTTCATCTGAGACTGAATTACAAAAATTAACCATTATTAATTCACATACACAATACCTTCATGCAATAAGTAAAAGTTTTTTGCCAATACTATTGGATATTCTGATTAAATAACCTTTCTTTAATCCAGTGTTACTTGCAGTAATATCAAAACATATTCCTCCTACTTTGGATTCAAGGTTGTACTCCTTAAGAAGGTCTATTACATCATTACACTCGTCTTCAACAGAGGGTGTTGGTAAAGAAGGTACCATCAATATTTACAAAAACAGTCTGTCTATCATTTTAAATTGTTTTCCATTTGTTTTGTTCAAATGATGTATTGCCATCGAAATGTATTATACACAGATATGAGGGTTCATTCATTACTTTTTGAACTTTTGCCATCCTGCATATATTATGACTAGCATGTTTCATTTTTCTAGATGCTGTAGACTGGCTGCATTTGAAATCTGTCAGATTCTTTTTTTGATATTTTTTGTAAAAATGATTGGCTGTAAGCTATTTGCTGCAAGATCTCTATTAAAAGCTAACCACCTAAATTACAAAAAAACAAAAAGACAAAATTTAACTACATTTTTTTGCTTAAGGGTTTAAGTATAAAACTATGTATTATCTTTTAGCACTGGCTTAGCTTCTTCGATAATTAACAGTTTTTTTTTAATGTTCTTTCGTTAGTAAGAATGCAGGATTCTTATTACCTTCTTCCTTGTTGTACAAGCTATTCTTTTTAAATTTTACTTATCTAAAAAATCCAATTTATTGTAAAATAATTTACAAATACAAGAAACCGAACCATTCAAATGTTCTTTGGGCTATGGTCAGTAACCAAAAAAACAATTGAATGGGTCATGAGTCTGCTTGGTCTTTTCAGGTTCAGGCTTTATATCAAATATTATAATTGTTTTAATTCAAAATACAAAAACAAAAGTATTTGATGCCTTACATTTTTACTTGAATATATAGATAAAATTACACATTGCAGAAAAAAAAAACTTTTTTCATTTAACTTCTCCCCTGGACCTGTGGAATATGTTTTTTTAATAGTTTTTGAGAACTTTTTTTCTAAAAATATGCTTAAAGGGTAAGGTTTGAGTTATCCTTTTAGGGTCTAATTTTTTTGAAGTAAGTTTTTTTAATATTTGCCCCATATTTAAAGTGTATATTATTTAAGATATTTTAGACAGAATGAAAAAATATAGTTACTTTATAGCTTTTCTTTGTAATTTTTTTAATTCTAAAATTATTTAAATAATGGTTTCGCGTCTAATAAAGCTACAAAAAATTGTTGTGCAAGTCTGAATGGCAAGTCTAAACAAATGGATGCTGCACATTTAAAGCAACTGTTCATGATATCATTTAGTAGATCAAGTCAACAGCTGGCATCAATCCAGGAATATTCTTTGGAAGATCGAAACTTCTTGCTTACAAAGCTTGCCACTACACCATTACCACAAGCAAGTGCTCTACCACTATGGCTTTGAAGAGCATAAAGATTTTAGACTCACAAGTTTTTACTTAACTGCCTCTTTGTGTGAATTTTACTGCTCCTTTAGTTCAAAGATGGTTTGCTAAGGATTTTAATCTTTGAATTGAACTATGCTGCGTACAAAGCCACAATTTTTCTCAAATGCATCAAAATTTGCAAACAACACAAAGATTGTACAGTTTGCAGCACACTAAGTCTATCTTCACAGGCCAACAAACTCATTTAATCCTTGATATGTTGCACCCTCTGTTAAGTAAAGTCCAACAAAATTGATTTGCAATGCATTCTCTGCCAAAACCAACACAAACAAAATATTGTTTGTGTTAGTTTATATTTAATACATCAAGGGAGACTAAATTCAGCATATTACTTTATACATTTTAAAGAAAAGTGTTTCTGATAGGTTTTGAGTTGGGTGGCATTTGGCATCAGGAAATATTCACCTGCTGGTAAAAATAACCAATATCCACCTAAAATAATTGACACTGAAATTAAATTATTTGTTGATAAAAAGTTAAATCCATCTGTTATAAATAGTATTGATAACCCAAATATAAGATATTATAAACTTCCATTTATAGGATTTTACTCAAATTTTACTAAATACAAAGTTAATAAAATCATTAAAAAATATTGTAAAAATGTTATGATTAATTTAATTTTTACTACCATCAAACAACAAAAAAATTTATGTATAAAAGATCCACTTCCTAAGCTGCTCAAATCCAATGTTGTTTACATATTTCCTTGTGCTGAATGTAATGCCAGTTATAGACACTTAACAACAAGGATAAGCATCTCCAGACACTTAACAACAAGGGTTCATAAGCATCTTACAAGTGACAATCTGATGTTTATTTTTAATTTCATCTGTTAATTGTAAAAATCTAAGTAACTATAAGTGTTTTAAAATTTTGGATATTGTTCCTAACAAAAACAAATTGAAAATTAAAAAGCATTCCACATTAAATGGAAAAACCCATCTTTGAATAAACAAGCAGTTCATTATAGTATAAATTTGCCAAGATCAATAAATATTGTGTTTTTCTTAAAAGTATGTTCATATATATATATATATATTTTTTTTAAAATTTTTTTATTTTTAAGGTACGAGTTGTACAAGGAAAGGAACCTGATCACTTTCTTTTATTATTTCATCATAAAATGATTATCATGAAGGTTTCTTTTATTTTTTATAGAACAAATGTTTTTTCTTACTTAAAATTGAAAAAATAATGGTATTTTTTTAAAATTTTATTTAAAAATTTTCATGTTTTATTTAATTAAGGGTGGATTTCAAAGTGGTTTTAATAGGCGTACCAAACGAGCAAATAGTTATTCTGAAACTAAAGCTAAACCTGGTGTTAAGCTTTTTCAAATTCGTGGTACTACTAATTTGAATACTCGAGCCATTGAAGTTAATGCTCGAGCTGCATCTTTAAATTCCAATGATGTTTTTCTAATGAAAACATTAGGAAATGCTTACATATGGGAGGGACAGGTTAGTTCTGCTATAAATTTAGATATTTTTGCATTCATAGTAGTTATTCAGAAAATATTTTTGATGAATATTTATTTTAGTTTCCTTCATTTATTGTTAAATTATTTCTATTTAGAAATAATATTATTGGAATAATAATAAAAATATTAAAAATAATAATAATACAAATTCAATAACAATAACACAAATTCAAATAATTTTTAGTTATTACCTTGTTAATTTCAATAATTTAATTAAAGTTAAAAATATTTTTTTAGTATATGTGGGATTTGCAATATGCTATTACTTACCATATTGCAAAGCCAACCTTTTTTTTATATTTTTTGTGCTCTAGAATTCTTTCTCTTTATTTAAATATTTTTTTCTCTTTATTTAACTTTCAAGCTTTAAATCTTCTATTAATTGTTTTTTAACTGTTTAATTCTATTAATTGTTTATTAATTGTTTTTTAACTGTTCTATAACTCTTTTATCTACACCACCTTTACACCTGTTATTTTTTCCTTTTTAATAACTCATTTTTCAATTTCTTAGTATCTTATAACTTGTTTGCTTGCATCTTTGAATTTGCATACAAGTATTTTCTTTTATTGTTTAAATAATATTATTTTTTTATTTTGAGTAGGTAATATAATCCCATCAAATAATTTTAAGATTAAATTGCTTCTAGGGCGCTAATGAAGATGAAAAGGCATTTGCAGAAATCGTTGCTGATTATGCTGCACCTGATGGGTATATTTTTCTAACTTCTTTTAACTTGTAAATTAATAATGGAATCATGCAAATTTAAAAAATGTATTAATAGAATTTGTATAAACAAAAATATATAATGTCATTGTTATAAAAATATCAATAGTTACTTATACAATATTTTGGTTTGAAATATTTTTTATATTATTCAGTGACTTAATCATAATGCGAGAAGGAAAAGAAACAAATGAGTTTTGGGATTTATTAGGTGGCAAAGAAGAGTATGCTTCAATGTCTCGGCTTACTGTGAGCTAATTTTACTGAATAATTATTATTGTAATATTTTTTTTATTGTTTTTTTCTATTATTATTTATTATTATTATATTAATGTTATTGTATTATGCTATTATTATTGTAATATTTATTTGTATATAATACCAATTACTTCATAGTAAATAATAGTAAAATAATCAACAATTTTTGCAAATCTTGATTTATTATCTTTTATTGTATTAGGAAAAAAAACCTACTATACCACCACGTTTATTTCAATGTTCAAATGCAACTGGAAGATTTTGGGTGGAGGAAATCTTTGATTTCGATCAAGACGTATACTTTTTTTTTGTTGTTGTTGTTGTTTTTAAGTTTAAGTTACATTAAACTAATAGTTATTGAAAATTAAAGTTAAATTAATAACTTTGAAATTTTAATGAGAAATTAATAACTTTGAAATTTTAATGAGAAATTAATAACTTTGAAGTTTTAATGAGAAATTAATAACTTCGAAATTTTAATGAGAAATGAGTGAATAAATAATAATAACTATGAACTTTAATAAGAATAAACACAAAGTTTAATAAGAAATAACTAAATAAACAGAAAGTTTAATGAGAATAGAATGAATTAACAAAAAGTTTAATAAGAAATGAGTTTTGTATTATATAAGTGTCTTTATTTATATATTTATAAATGCATGTATAAATGTATATATATATATATATATATATATATATATATATATATATATATATATATATATATATATATATATATATATATATATATATATAAAAGGTTTAAGGTAAGCAATATATTTGGCTGCAATTATTACATGCAAAATAAGGTAGTTCAAAATGAAGTAGATGAAGATTAAAATAAGGTAGTTATAGTACATAATTAGCTAAAGTTTAAAATGAGGTTATTAAAGTTCAAAATGTGATAGTTATAGTTCAAAATGAGGTTGTAAAGTTCAAAATGAGGTAGTTATAGTTCAAAATAAGGTTGTAAAGTTTAAAATGAGGTTATTAAAGTTCAAAATGAGCTAGTTATAGTTCAAAATGAGGTTGTAAAGTTCAAAATGAGGTTGTAAAGTTCAAAATGTGTATTTAAAGTTCAAAATAAAGTAGTTATAGTTCAAAATAAGATAAAGTTCAAAATGAGGTTATTAATGTTCAAGAGGTTATTCAAGTTCAAAAAGAGGTAGTTATATTTCAAAATGACGTTGTTAAAGTTCAAAATAAGGTTACTTAAGTTTATAATGAGGTAGTTATAGTTCAAAATGAAGTTACTAAATTTTAAAATGGTGTAGTTAATTTGTGCTTTAATTGTTTTCATAATTTTATTTGTTATGAAAATTTTTCTAAAAGGTAAGTGTATGTATATGTTTTTGTCTAAAGTATATGTTTTAAGCCACATTTTTTTTTACTCTTTGATTAGATTAACAATGTCTTATTTTTGTTTACATTACCACTAGTTACTTATATCAAATGTTTTGGTTTTAAATTCTTAATTTAATTCTCTCACTCTTTATTTCATGAAAATAAATTTTATCAATGTTGTTTATGATTTGGTTTATAGGTTTATTGTTTTATAAAACATGACGGCTATTATTTAAAAAATTTAGTTTATTTTTTACTGTTAAACGATCCATATTTAACAACTAAAAATTACATTTTTATAACCAAAAGTTAAATATCATCTTATAATAAGAATTTTTTGACAGTATGCAAAGAAAAACAGAGATTACTTGAAAAACAGAGAATACTTGAAAAACAGAGAATAACATGAATACATACAATGATATGAAGAAAAAAAAAGACACAGAAAAATACAATTATATTAATAAACATAGATGTTTAATTTTAATTAAACCTAAAAAAATAAAATTCTTTTTGAATGAATGAATAGAATTTAAAGTTTAACAAGTGAATGAAGAAATCAAAATTAAAATTTAATGCTAAATAAAAGTTAATTTTTAAATTAACAATTAATTGTAAAATTTAAATAATTACTCTAATAATAGTAATAAAAAATCTTTGATTAGGACTTGTGTGAAGATGATGTAATGTTATTGGATACATATGATGAGGTATTTTAATTTGGTTGAATTCCCTTTTTTGTTATTATTTAAAAAAAGAAATGATTCAAGAAAAAACATAAAAAGAGTATAGTAACTAAATGACAAAGAACAAACATTTAAACTTCTATTTATGTTGTTTTAGTTAACATGGTTGAAATTTTTTGTTAAATTGAGCATAATTAAATTTTTAGGTATTTGTGTGGATAGGTGAAGGAGCAAATTTCATTGAAAAAAAAAATGCATTGGACGGTGCATTAGTAAGTAAGCCATTTGAAAAAAATCATTATTTGTTTAAGTATTTTAAAAGCATTTTATATTTTTTCTTTAAATTGCTTTAAAAATTGGTTTTAATTTGTAAAAATTTGTAGATCATGGTTACTGTGGATATGAGCTATAAGCTCCTGTTTAGCCAACCAAAGTTCAAAATCTTATGCGACTTGTTTTTATTCAGCCAAAATTCAAAATCTTATGTGACTTGTTTTGCCAACCAAAGTTTAAAATCTTATGTAACTTGTTTCACCAACCAAAATTCAAAATTTTATGTGACTTGTTTCACCAACCAAAATTCAAAATCTTATGTGACTTGTTTTTATTCAAAGTTTATTTGCTGCCTAATAACTCCTATCTAATTTTTTTCATAAAAAAAAAACGAAATTTTCTTCAATAATAATCACACACATTTCATAAACCTCTTTTTATGTATATTTTCTGTCAAGAATAACAGCACTCTCTTACTTGATTAGCACAGCACTCTAATACCTGGTCAGTATTTTCTCTTTACCTTCTAGATGCTGCATTTCCTCTATCTACATAGCTTCCATTTCTCTTTAATAAATTTCGTTTTCATTGTATTTTATATACAGTTTTATTTTGTTATTTAAAAGTGTTGCGAATTGTTATATTATTGTACTGTCATATTAAATATAATTATAATTATCATTAGTAAAAAAATTATTAGTCAAAAAATATTTAAAAATTTTTAAAGTATGTTGCAGTATGTTGCAACTATTTAAAAACTCAGTAAAAAAATTTTATGGTTTTAATGTTTTTATAATGATATTAATACAAATTTTCAATATTATAAAAAAAATTAAAAAAATAAAGTAAAACAATTTTATTTAATGAAAAATAAAAATCAGTATTTTTTATAAAAAATCTTATTCAAATTTTCTCATTCACAAATATTAATGATAAATATATGTAATAATGATGAATATATGTAGTTTCCAGCCTATGTGGGAGGTGTGTATTTAAAAAAAATTTATTAATTAGATATATTCTTTCCTTATTTAATAATACAATTTTATTTTTTTTATTTTAGAAAAAAAAAAAAAATTATTCACATTACATTATTGACAAATTAAGTTTTTTTGAAAAAAAAAAAAACTATTCACATCACATTACAAATTAAGTTTTATCAAATATAAAACTTTAAAAAAAACTATATTAATGCTGTAATTTAAGTTATCTTTTTCTGATGCTTTAAGATCTTCTTCCCATTCCGTTGAAATAACTTTGACCTTAAAAAAAAAATGTTTTTATAAAGTTATTTTTTCTTTTACATCAGGAATACATTAAAAGTGACAAAAGTGGACGCACAATAGAAAATACAAATATCTTGCGTGTAAAACAAGGTTGTGAACCTTTGAACTTTACAGGATATTTTTTTGCTTGGGATCCTGAAAAATGGAGTGTAAGTTTTGTACAACATTTTTTAGTTGCACTTCTTTTTGTTATTATTATTTTTTAACTTAAAAGTAAACTCCATCATTAGAAAGGTATGAGCTATGAAGAACTTAAGAGTCAGCTTGGTGAAGAAAATGTTAAAGTGACATCTGTTTCAGAGGTAAAGCTTTTTTCTTTTGCTTATATGCATTGGTATACAAACAGGTCGTTTTTGTGAATGTGCTTAAATATACACTGATAATATTTTTAATCAACCAGTTTTATATATATATATATATATATATGTATATATATATATATATATATATATATATATATATATATATATATATATATATATATATATATATATATATATATATAGCGGGAGCGATTGCTCTCGAATACTGACCACGGAAGTTATATTTAGTTGCAAAAAAATGGCCACGTTTTTTAGTCGTTTTGAGAACATTTAAGTTTATGTACAAAACAAAAAATTTTTGTTTTACGGACATACATGGAAACATAAAAAACTTGCTTAAATGTTCTCAAAACATCTTGGTGCGAAAGAATAAAAAGAATATTCACGAACCCAAAAAACCCGCCAAATTAACAAACAAACTAATTCTATTGGTTCAAAAAATACGCTGACTAAGCGAAATAAAGTTATAGAGTATTCTGTTGAAATGTTTTAGAAATTGTATTATTTACGATTATTACAAGTTATAGATTTTATTAGTATATTCTTATTTTTTATTCAAAAAGTATGTATTCTTTATGTAAATGTCTTATGTCTTTGTGTATCTGTTTTTTATCGTAATGTATCTTTAATAATAAGCAATTTTTATGATTTAAAAAAAGACTTACAAAAATAATTGCGTTTTCAATGAAGTTATAATCATCAAAGTTAATAAAACTATTTATGTAACAAACATATATGAAGTTTCTGATTACTAAACACAAACAATGCATACAAAGTAACTCGCAGATGAACAAGCACCGCGTCTGAGGTCACGACAGAACACAAATATATATAGCAAATTTTAGATATACTTTCTTCTGCTTTAAATACTTATTAAAATTAAAAAACCCACTCACTAAACATCATCAGCGATGTTGTGAAGCAGTTTCGCTTCCTCGCCATAAGGTATTTTTAACCTTTTTAGTTGATTTCTATCTTGTTAATTTAATTTCTATAGTAATTCAATGATTTAGTTATTTCATTTGTTTATCTTACTAAGAAGAATTCAAATATGTTAAACTTTTCAAACTACGCAAAACATAAAATAGGTATTAAAAAAATTAACTTTTTATATATATATATATATATATATATATATATATATATATATATATATATATATATATATATATACATATATATATAATATATATATATATATATATATATATATATATATATATATATATATATATATATATGTAGTTATATATATATATATAATATAGTTATACATATATAATATAGTTATATATATATAATATTTTTAAAAATCATTTTTTTGTTGATTTTGAAAAGTTTTAGTAAATGGACTTGTGCCTTTTTCGAAATGACAGGTTCAATTGTTATCATTGTTTTTATTGTATTTACCCAGCAAGCATTTTGATGTTGATTCAATGTTGAAAATGCGTTGAATTGAGGGTGTTGATGTAATTGTTGAATTGGAAACAAAAAATCAACGTTGAAATATCAACATTGATTCAGTGTTAATAAATTAATCTTAAACTCATCTTTTTGATTTTCTTTATCACCTTCTTTTATTAACTTCTTCATCTTTTTAATTGTGCTTCTAGGATTTCCGTTTACTTTAAACGATGAGGTGCATACTTCAAGATGAGGTGCATACTTCAAGCTTTTGCATAATAGCGCTTTATCAATTCTAGAAAATAAACAAAAAAATAATAACAGAACTTTACATCACGCCAAACGCCGTAACTGAAGGCCAATTAAACTTATATACTACTTATATAACTTATATATCTATATATAATAAAAAGATAACTGTATTTTTTTTTTTTTTTCTGCTTACAGAAACATAACCAAAAAAAAAGTAACAATAAATATCTCTAAAATAAGTGTCACAAGTATGACCATCAAATACCATCTTCAGGAATGTCAAATTGTAATATCAATTTAGAAGCACATAGTTATACAATAAATATATATCTGATGTTGTTAACCATGGTATACTATCAACAAAAAATCTTTGATTTACACTGTTGCCATCAGTAATTATTGCCAGTGTCTTACTATTTTCAATATTATTTATTGTATCAACAATTTTTTGACATTAAGCAAACTGAAATTAAGAGGAAAGATTTGCAACAGGTTAAGCTCTACATATAAATTCTGGACCTCCAAAAAGACATTTAATCATAAATGATTAAATTGTTTTAGCTAACTTTTCAGGGTAGTTAACTACTTGACCAAACAAAGCACCTCTTTTCATAAAGTAATGAAGCTTTGACATAAACCTCATCAATTAGTAGTATGGAAATTCTTTTCAATAGATCTAAATTCATAAAAATACTATTTACCGAATTTAGGCCCTATATTTAGCTTATTTTTGAATTCAACCGTGTTAAAATCTATATACTTGGCAACTTGTAATCAATACATAAACAATCATATAAACATTGTCACATAGAAAAATACTCTACATATAATATCTGAAGTATATTTGTTTTTATTAACTTTAATTTATTTACAGTTAAAGATAAAATATTACAAGTTGTGCTGTTATGGTAAGCTACAAATGAATGATCATCAAAAGTTTCTAAAAGAAATAATGGAATACCAAATTTGTATATTTTTAAACTGTATTTGTAAACTTTTTTTATAAAACTGGAAAACAATAACATCATTATTATCACTTAACAAAGATTGAATATCGTCAAATATAAGTTCATCCTATTTTAGAAAATCTGGTAAAATGTTTCGAAAACCGCTTGAAGTTGCAGTTTTTCTAACTTTACTTGCTGGTATGTGTAAACTAGGCGGAATAATTTTGGTGCATCATCTGGCCAATGCAGTCGACATACTGTATAGTTACATACTGTATAGTTACTGTACAGTCGACATACTGTATAACTGGTTTTATTGTATAGTCTGATACAATAAAACCAGTTTCTTGGTATAGCATCACTCCATCTTTTTCTCTTTTCTGGATTCTTGGGAAATTTATAAATTGATATTTTTGTTGTAGTTGAGTGATAGACTTGCAAAGCAGAACACATCATTTTAATTATTAAAATATTTTATTGTTAATTATTAAAATATCTTATTAGTTCGACGATATTATTACCTTACAATGTTAATGTCTTAAACTTTACAAGGTTAACGTCTTGAAGTTGCGCTTCTAATTTATAAACCAATCGAATTTAAAAGATTTATTAAATGAGTGTGAACGCAATCTTTTTTCTAATAATAAAAGATGAAAATGTAAATACAGTATTAGAAATCAGCCTTCAGTTAAACAACTTCATTGTGCAATGTCAAGGTCTATTTAGAATTATAGAAGGTCGTGAATTTAGTCAAACAAATAAAACTGTAGAGGAAATAAAATTTTAATTTATATTATTTCATATTAATACTTAAAGTTTAACATTTTTATGTTAACTGATTTATTTTATGTTAACTGATTTGTTCAAGGAATATTTTAAAATGCCTTTGTTTTAAACAGGCAGCCATTAAA